AGTTAAAATGAGTTATGCATTAACATTAGATAGAAGCTTCTCAATAAAAGCTCTTGAGTGTTTTATATCAGTTTGGATTGTTACATCTTTAACAATTCACTTCTAAGTGACTTCAATTAACAGCAGTGTTATATGTGGCTGTATTTATATGAGGGAAATAAGTCGATCGAGTTGGAAGTGTTTTGTAATATTAAGATAGTGTATAAAAATCAATTGTACTGTCGTAAGTTGTCCCTAATGTTATTGGCTTTGATTAAACCATTCCAGGGGAAGATCCAATTATATTAATTCAAACTGAAGTAATTGGCTCTTCTATTGTTGCCTGCTTTTTATTGTCAATTTACAGACCCAAAGGCTACAAACTTTCCTTCATTCTGTGTTCCATTGTTTAAACCATGTGCAAAGGGGGTACATGGAACAATTTTTGTCTATATCTATTCTGCCTGAATACTTTATAATTCTGAGGAGCTTAGTTAATAACTTGTATGGTAGAAAAGTACTTTTTTGTGTGTGTGTGTGACTTCCTAGATAAAAAAAAGGAAAACGCATGAACAAAAACACATGGAAAATGAGAAATTAACCAAAGGTAGAATTCCAGAGTAACTGTATTTTTTTGGTCTGTTTTTTAATGGAAATTATGAGATTCTGTTCATAAGAACCACAGTGTAAGCAGTAGCAGTAGAAACCTCTAGGGAGGATGCCATGCTAAGGAGAGTTCAAATCTTTGCTCGGACCTATATATACGCGTATGTATATGTAATATATAATATTTATATAAAAACACAGAATTGCCCAGAAAAGATGGTATTTTGTGTCACGTGGTGGGGTGTCATCTTATAATGGCAATGCATACCCATACTGTGATTTATAGTGTACAAAGAGCTCTTTGCCTTATGTTATTCCCCAATAGCCATATGAGGAAGACAGGCATCATTATCTGCAGTTTACGCTAGTGAAAGCTGAAGCACTAAAAAGATTAAGTGGAAATAACCCTTCTTATAAATGGTGGACGCCAGGTTTTCCAGCTCTGGCCAAGAATAGAGCCCACTGGTATCATTGGCCATTGGCTGAGATTAAATGATTTAGCATCATGCAAGAAAATAAAGGCCCTGCCTGAGTATTTTAGAATTCAGAAAGAGGCACTATGTCCCAAGACTCTGATAATTTGTCTTGAAGTAGACCATCCACTTCTAACTTTTAAAATGAAGTCAATTAATCATTTGTTATATAATGCATGCTAAGCATCGACAGCAAAATAAGGATAGTAAAGAATACCAGCCTCCGCTTAATTATGAAAAGTTAACTGCAGTGCCTTCAATGATGAAAATAATTACCTTCAGAAAACTATCCAGAATGAAAAGAGACTTTCATTCCCTTTGGGGCCATACTTTACCTGCCATGATGCCTCTTTAGTCAAATCAATAAGTGTTTACCACATGCTCTGAAGGAAATACCACATTCTATTAGAGCCAATTTTATCTATTTAAAGTGAATCGAAGCAGCAATGTGTTTAATGTGGTATTCTCTCCCTCTTTTTTTTTTTTTTTTAAACCATCAGGTGAAATTGGGTGAGGATGCCCCCAATTCCAGTGTGGTGCGTGTCTTCAATCCCGAAGGAGGTGACAATAGTGGAAATGGTGTCCCGGAGAAGACAACTGACGGAGCTGAATGCCACCTTCTTGACTTTGCCAGCGCTGAGCGCCCACTGGTGGTCAACTTCGGCTCGGCCACCTGACCTCCTTTCACTAGCCAGCTGCCAGCCTTCCGCAGACTGGTGGAAGAGTTCTCAGCGGTGGCTGACTTCCTGTTGGTCTACATCGATGAGGCTCATCCTTCAGATGGCTGGGCGGTGCCTGGGGACTCCTCTTTGTCTTTTGAGGTGAAGCGGCACCGAAACCAGGAAGATCGATGTGCAGCAGCCCACCAGCTTCTGGAGCGTTTCTCCTTGCCGCCCCAGTGCCGAGTTGTGGCTGACCGCATGGACAATAATGCCAATGTAGCTTATGGAGTAGCCTTTGAACGTGTGTGCATTGTGCAGAGACAGAAAATTGCTTATCTGGGAGGAAAGGGCCCCTTCTTCTACAATCTTCAAGAAGTCCGGCATTGGCTGGAGAAGAATTTCAGCAAGAGATGAAATCTAGATTAGCTGGTTAAAGGTATGATTGTAATAGAGCTTATTATTTTTAAAAAAAATTATGTAAAGAAAAGGAAATTAAGAACTGAATCCATATTTCGACTGAGTCCCATTGTCTTACTGAAAGACAGGAATTTACCTGTCAGAAGAACATGAACCTCTAACATCTCAGTACTTCTTTCACCACTCAAATGGCATGGGGCTAAATAGTAGCTCTGTCACTTCTCTTCTTAGTGAAAAGATCCTAAGATGGAGAGGAAGAAACCCTGACTCAGCATGTGTTCATTCTGCTTTGAGAAAGAAGTTATACGGCTGATGCATGCTTTGGGACCAGAAGAAAAGACTTACCTGAATAATTACTATGTTAGGGAAGCTACTGTCTATGTTAAGATAAAGATATTGCCTTGGCTTTATTCAGCATGGATAGAGCCCAGCTGGAAAATTCGCAAATATTTACTTATAATGAGTCCTTGAACCCAGGCCACGTGGTTAAGACCTTGGTGTTTAATACATTCTAGTTTCTAGCAACGCAGTGCTCTATGTCAGTCTACATAGCCCAAAATTCACAGGTGTATGTGTAGATAACATGAATGATCCCTTAACCTGGAGTGTTACAGTAACCATCTGAAATCTGAGGGTTATTTTCTAGGCAGATGGAGAAGGCACTAGAAAAAAAAATCAAATTGACAAGCTAGGTAAGAGAAGGCGGAAAGATTAGGAAATGTCATAGAGTTTCACCTTGAAGTTATAGAGAGTGGGACTAATTTGGTAGCCACAGAAACATAGAAACATATACAGGCCAGAAAAAGAAGAAGCCCAGCTAAAAATAGCATAGAGAATACACGTATAAAAACATCATACACTCCTAGATTGAAGGAGAAAGGGGGGGTTGAAAGAAAAAAACCACTTAAATAATAATATGTATTAGGGTTTTTTTTGGTGGAAATAATTGCTTTTTGAAACATGTATGTAGTGTGTATATTTTCAGTGGGTTAATCGTATCCCATGATGCCTATTAAAGGAAAAACCAGTGGGTCTGGTGGTGCTGGTCTGTTCCTCCCCATTCCTACAATTATCATGTGACCCACTCATTCCTAATTTCAGTCTTACAGCAGTGTTCTCTCTGAATGCTGAACTAAAGAGTAAAGAGTAAATATATATATATATGTGTGTGTGTGTGTATATGTATATATATATATTCATTCTC